TGTTGTCAGAGAGGAAAACAAGGGGAATGGATTAGGTGGTTCCTAAGCCTCAGAAACACTGACATGCAGGGTTTTGCTTCCCTCTTCTGGCTAAAGACAAACTCACGGCATTCCATCTGGATTGGAGAGCAAAGTACATGGTGTTTGATTATCTGGTCCCCTGTTGCCCACAGCAATGGAAGGAGATAATGAACAAATTATCATAGTATTTCAGTTTTTGAGCTGGAAAGAACCTGAGAACATAAATTGGCAGAACATAGCACACAGAATATTAGAGATAGAAGACACCATAGACCACAGAAGACTAGACCTGGAAAGGATCTTAGAACATAGAATATTATTAGAGCTAAAAGAGGTTTTAGAGATCATTTGGTCCAGAGGTTTTTCACCTTTTTGTGTGTCATAGGCCCTTGCCCTTATGGACATCTGCTGAAGCCTATGGACAGAGTATGTCATAGTAATGCTTTTGAATGCAAAAACAAAATAAAATAAAATGCAAAGGATTAGAAAGGAAACCAATTATCTTGAAATATATTTACTAAAATGCATTTAAAACAAAGTACATAGATTCCAGGTTAAGAACTCCTGAAACAGTTAAATTTCCTGTTGGACTGCACAACAAGTATTGTTTTCCTTATTTTACTGATGAGGAAACTGGGATAGTTCAAGCAATTGACCCTAAGTCACATGGATAGTAAGTGATAGTTAGCTGGAACTTAGACCCAGTTTTTCTGACTCCAAGTCCTATGTCCTTTTCACCAAGTTTTGCTGCTCAGGTTCCTTCTGTCAGAGAAAGAAAATATCTATCAAGTTCTGATAGTAAGGACTTACTGTGTTACTTTTCCTTAGGCTATTTGCATTTTTAAACACAATAAGAAAGGGAAAATAGACCATTTACACAAAGTAATGAATTTCTAATGGTGAAATTTCAGCAGAATGGGGAAAGATATTTGCAGAGAAAGTTACTTTTCTAACAATCTTTAACTTCATCTTTAGCAAATATTTTTTAGGTGCTTATTTTGTGCGTTGTGCTAGAGTAGCTGTAAAGATTAAATGAGGTATCATTTTTGTTTTCTTGGAGTATACAATCCAATAATATGATATTACATATACACAAAGAAATATTATACACAGTAAAGTACATTAGAAATGTCTAAACCAAATGTTTTATGAAATCCTAGAGAGAAAATCATTACTGACTTTGGAGAATCCAGGAATGTTTCATGGAAGGAATAGAATTTGAATTGGGCCTTATAGAATGGGTAGGATTTCAATGGGCAGAAACACTGGGAGACTGAGAGCAAGGTATTTCAAGAGAAGGAAACAATGTGAACCAAGATTTGTAGGCATGATAATGCAGGATGTGCTTGGAAGACAAAGATAAGTCGATTGGATTGAGGCACATGGATAGAAATATTATGAGAAAAGATTAGAAAGGTCAAATCATAGCAGATTGTGGAGGGTTTTGAACGCCTGCCTTAGAAGTTGATTTTTAGGCAATAAGCAACAAGTGAGTATAATGATTAGGGAAGTACTATGGATATAACATACCTGAAATTCAACAAAACATTTGACAAAGCTGCTTACAATTTCCATGTAGTCTATATGATGGTACAATTATGTAGCTTTGTACCTGACTGAATGAATGAGACCCAAAGGGGAGTCAGTAACGGGTCACTGTCAAGTTGGAGGAAGACCTCTGAGGTCCTAAGACCTCAAAGAATCTGCCCTTGATCCTTTTCTGCACATTTCAATCATTGGCATAAATGGCATGCTTACCAGATTTATAAATGACATGTAGCTGGGAAAGAAAGATATCATGGACAACCAACTCAGGAGCCATAATTCTCTCAGTGATCTAGTGGAAAAGGTCAGATCTAACTGGATGAAATTGAATAGGGAAAATGTAAAATCCTATGCTCGAGTTAAAAAAAAAACACACTCTCCCAATATAGGACAAGGGAGACATAGGAAGATAACAATGAATGAAAATGTTCTTGGGTTTTAATGGAATGTAAACTGAATATGAGTCAATAGTGTGACGTGGCAGAGAAAAAAGCTAATATAATGCCAGGCTTCATTAGGAGATGCATAGTGTCCCAAGGTGATGATAGTGCCTCTATATTCTGTTCCACTCAGACAACAGTTACTGGACTCTTGTATTCAGTTCTGGATCCAATGGTGTATTAAAGGCTTAATAAATTAGAGAAACTCCAGGGGAAGCAAACTAGAATGAGAAGAGGCTGACAACTTATCTAGATAAGTTGAAGGAACTCGGTCATGGAACCTCACATGAGGATGACGTGTTATATGACATGGATGTACATGTTAACATACATATATAGACAGATATGTGTATACATGTTTATACATGTGTATCTTTCTTCATATTTATCTATTTACATCTATCTATATACACACTGACATACATGTATATGAAGAAATGTCGTGTAGGAAAGGATGAGCTTGGTTTGCCTCGTCCCAGAAGGCAAAGTTAGAGCAAATTTAGGATGGATATAAGGAAAAACTTCCTAACAACCAGAGTTATCTAAAGATGGACTGCCCTGTTAATGTTGTTGTTCAGTCAGTCACTTTTTTCAGCTGTGTCCAACTCTTAGAATGTGATGAATGCCCCCATCACAGAACAGGTCACAATCCTGGTGCTACCCTCCCTGCCGCTAGCTGTGCTGAAGGGAGCTGCCCAAGGCCTCAGGGGTGGAAAAGAAACAGCGTGGGACCCTGATCCACTGAGTTGGTCTGGGTGACATCTGAAGCTCCATCTAACTCTCAGATTCCATCCACTTCATTACTCTTGTTATCCCTTCGTAAGTCATAAAGTTAAAAGGAAGGGGCATGATAGGTTGTTTGCCCCAGGTGGTGCTACTTGCCCTAGGCGGTGCTGGTTCTAGGTGCTGGCATTTTACTCTATGAATTCATTCTAATGAATGTTAGACAATCATCCAGTCCATCAGATCTGCAGTTTCCTCACATTCTGGATGCCCTCTAGGCCTCAGCAAGAAACTTATCTCACTCCTCTCATTTAGAACATAGCGCTGCACCTCAAAGGCAGAGGGTAGCGTAGGGCTTTTACCTGAACTGCCACATCAGGGTTAGTATCCAGGGCCCAAATCAGCTAAGAACACCAAGTCAAATCACCAAACCTAGGTAGAAAACAGATTTCCTGGTTGGATTGGAAACAAAGAGATCAAAATCTTGGGAGGACTTGGAAATGAGCGCATGAACTCAGGGGATGCAAATGTTGGGTCCAGTCCTGAGCGATGCATTTTAGGTGGAGAGTTAGAATGCTGGAGCCTGTGCAGAGAAGACCAAGATGAAGCCAGGCCATAGGAGGGTCAACAAAGAAATTGTTAAATCAACAAACATTTATTAAGTATTTAGTATGTGCTAGGCATCGTCCTGGGAATACAAAGAGAGGCAAAAAACAACCCCCTGTCCTGAAGGTACTTTTATTATAATGGGGGATAAAACATATAAATCAGAACATATAGAAATCAGAGTAGATGGCAGGAACTGGGTATTTAAAGAATCACAGTTTTTTAAATATTTAAAGGTTGTTATGTGGAAGACAGATTAGACTTTTTCTACTTGACTCTAGGGGCAGAATTTCATGAAAGTTTCAATAAAAATAGATTTTTGGCTTAATATAAAGAAGACCCTTCTAATAATAGATATAGGGATAGTGACTGGACCTGTGATTTCATTGGGTTAGGGGACTCCTAGATAAGGAAGCTCCCTTTACCAACACAGGTCAGCATCTTCTCTGCAGTTTGAAGTCTTGCAGAGTTGTCTACAGTACTGAGTATTTAAGTGACTTGCTCAGGGTCACACAGTCAACATGTTCCAGGCACTCTAACCATTATGCTATGGTGCCTCTTTACCTAGTAATGAGAGGTAGGAAAACATGAAATGTGCTGCCCTGAGAATGCTTGGCTAAGGAATTAGACCTTTAGGCAATAAGGAACAGAGGAGTAATGTGATCAAGGGAATGACATGGAATTCAGCAATCACTGAGGCTGGATAATCACTTGATAGAGGTGTTGAAGAGGGTACTCATTAGCTATATAGGAGACAGATTAGATGAACTCTAAGGCCCACAAGATTCTGGAAACTCTTAGTTTCTGGCTGCCCAGACAAAATCATAGGCTCTCATGTTGAGTCAAATTTGCTAAGCCAATGATGAGGATGAAAACTATGAAAACCAACATATGTATATATATATATGTATGTATGTATGTGCACATATGTGTGTATGTATGGGAAGAGAGAGAGAAAGGGAGGGAGGAAGGAAGGGAGGGAGGGAGAGAGAGAGAGAGAGAGAGAGAGAGAGAGAGAGAGAGAGAGAGAGAGAGAGAGAGAACGCTTTAAAATTTTCAAAGCACTTTCCACATATTTCTTCATTTGATCTTAATGACTCTATGAAGTATAACTAGAGGTTCAGGTCAGAAAGATTAAAGGGAAAACCTAGTTCTGATAACAGAACAAGACAGATGAGTGGAAAGGGAGTGGGGCCAACCAGATCACAGTAGAAAAGAGAGGGTCAGAAAGCCTTAATAATATCTCCTTCCCATTGGATCTTCCCTGGATGTCCCCTGTGCTAGCCTCTCAGTAGGCTCCTGGCACTAACCATTGAACCAAATCCTTTTTGGTAAAGAAAGGATCATTTTTCTCAGTTGTTCCACAGGGCCAATCAAGGATAATGGTCTTTAATTGTAGGAGGAGCCATTTGGGTAAGACCCTGGGGAAAACTACCCAGGCTAGATGGATTGTAAGAATGCAATACCTTACCTGGAAAGGGCAGAATTTATTTTTAAAGTGGGGATGATCTCTTTGAGAAAGGATTTAATGTCTCTCTTGGAGGCAGGGGGGAGCCTGCATCAACTCTCAATGGTCATCCTATGGTCAGCTTAAGAATTAAGGAGCAAATGGTTGCAGACGCAGAATGGCTGAGCCATTCCTTATATCTCCTCTTTTCCTTCTAGGTTTCTAATCGTTCTGGGGTGCTTAATCTTGGCAGTACTGACCACATTCAAGGAATACGAGACTGTTTCGGGAGATTGGCTGCTATTGTTGGTAAGTTAAAGGCCCTGCTAACCCTGACCTGTTGTTATCATGTGGGCCACCTACCTATTGTTGAATTTAGCATAGCTGCTATGCCAGGATGAAGATCAGGTTAGTCAGAGGGTCACCAGGATTGGTAGTAGGCTGGTAAAAAGTTCCGTTTCAGGACTTAAAAAAACCAGAGACTAATGTTCTTGGAGTAGCTAGAAATCAGAAATAAGCCAACAGTTATAATAGAAGGCAGGGTAGCAGCCCATTTCAATCCATAATGGCTTTTTTTGGTGAGGGAAAGGTCAAAAAACATTCCTTCATCACATTACAGTTATGTTGGATTTATAAAAGTTGCTTCAGTAGAAACTATCTTTGTATAATTCTATAAGGAAATTACTTTAGAGAGAGACTGAGGATGACTTATTCCAAAATTAGAGAGATAGAAGTCTGGACAGAACGAGGATATAGTATACCTCTTGAAATGGCTAACTTTGTAAAAGAAAGAAATAAGACAAGAATGGCAGTGTTTCCAGAAAAGAAGCATTCCCATATGCCTTTCCTCTTTCCTTAGGCAGTCTCAGGACCCTGCAGCCTTTGTGGTCTCTCAATGAGATACAAAGCACTTTGCAAATCTTAAAACTTATATGAAAGTCAGAAAATATTATGTTACCTTCCATTGTTTATTTAAGGTAAGACAGAAAGAAGGAAGAAAGGAAGTGGAAAATGGAGAGACACAATTCAGGTAGGGTGAAAGAAGGGATCTGACACCTAGTGGATAGTCAATAAATATTTTATGATTGGTCTGGACCAGTGGAGTGGAACATTGAGAGGGAAAGAGAGATGAAAGGGACTTCACTGGAGTTGCAACAAGGAAATGGAATTTTCAGCATCATTCTGAGGAGACCGAAAGAGTATCAGAACCAATCTATGTTCATATGTGATGTGTCACAACTACTGTTCTGCTAATGACTTCTAATTTAACTACCCGTAGATTAGGAAACTGCCTGTGCTGATTTCTTTTCTCAATCAGATGATTTGTTTACTTAACTATCATCATTTGGAGGTTCTGAGTACATTAAAAAAATTTTTAATTATCTGACAAAACAAAAACAGAGGAGTCCATGTAAAAAGAATTAATTGCTTTGCTAGTCTGAACAATTCCATTAGAGACATTAACATTGAGGCAGTAACCCTTCAAACCTGAGTGACATTTAATAGGAAAAAAAAAATCCATCAACTTGTAAGTTTTAGCTAACCGGATTTTAGTTAATCAAGTCTTTCTGTTCTTGGATGCAGGAAACATTTGCTATTTTCATCTTTGGAGCCGAGTTTGCTTTGAGGATCTGGGCTGCAGGATGTTGCTGCAGGTACAAAGGATGGAGGGGGAGACTGAAGTTTGCAAGGAAGCCCTTGTGCATGCTCGGTAAGCACTGGAGGCTCAAAGTGTTCCTCTTTTTTTTTTTCTTTTTTTCTTTTTAAGGCAATTGGGGTTAAGTGACTTGACCAGGGTCACACAGCTAGTAAGTGTCAAGTGTTTGGTCTGAGGCCGGATTTGAACTCAGGTCCTCCTGACTTCAGGGCCAGTGCTCTATCTGCCGCATTACCTAGCCGCTCCTCGAAGTGTTCTTGTTTTGCTTTGGGGTACCGATGGACGGAGAAACTCTCTGGAGGAAATATGCCCATCTTGAAAAGTGATGACCTAAATAAAACATCATTCATTTGAGAAACCATTTGAGAGTCTGATGGGAGGAAATCCTATCCCTGCACAATGATAATAGAGATAGTTCAGATTTACATAGCACTCTTCTTATGACAACCTAATAAGCTAAGTAGTCCAAGTTTTATTTCCCCCATTTTACAATTAAGGGAAATGGGACTCAGAAATGGAGTAATTTGACCCAGGTAACATAGCTAATAAGTGGCAGAGCTGGGACTCAAACCTAATCTTTTGACTTCTTTGTTTGTTTCCATTAAATCACATTCCCATTCTTTTTTTAATAGTATTTTCCCAATTATGTGGTAAAGAAAAATTTTATCATTCATTTTTACAAGATTTGGGGTTCCAAATTTTTCACCCTCCCTCCATCCTCTCCCCTGCTCCCCTCTGCTCTTCCTAAAATGGTAAACAATTTGATATAGGTTTAAGATAGATACACACACGTGTACACACACACACACACACACACATATATGAATATACATATATATGCAACCATGTAAAACATATTTCCATATTAATCACAGTTGTGAAAGAAGAAACAGATCAAAAGGAAAAAAAAACAGGGAAAAATGTAGTAAGTAAAAATAGTACGCTTTGATCTGCATTTGGAATCCATCATTTCTTTGACTGGATGTGGATAGCATTTTCCATCATGAGTCTTTTGGAATTGTCTTCAATCATTGAAATGCTGAGAAGAGCTAAGTCATTCATAGTTGATTATTGTACAATGTTGCTGTTACTGTGTACAATGTTCTCCTGGTTCTGCTCAGTTCATTTATCATCAGTTCATGCAAGTTTTTCCAGGTGTCTCTGAAATCTGCCTGCTCATCATTTCTTATAGCACAATAGTATTCCATTACATTCACATACTATTACTTGTTCAGTCATTTCCCAATTGATAAGCATCCCCTCAATTTCCAGTTTTTTGCTACCACAAAAATTGCTGCTATAAATATTTTGCGTAGGTAAGTCCTTTCCCCTTTTTTATGATCTCTTCAGGTATATATGTAGTAGTGGTGGATCAAAAGGTATGGGCAGTTTAGTTGCCCTTGGGGCATACACACTATTTACTCAGCACTAGAAATCTTCAGATGGAGACTAGACACATTGGGATTATTGTAGGAGGGCTTCATTCTTAGCCATGAATTGGACTAGATAACTTCTGAAGACCTTCTCGCTGTGATTCTAAGCCTACCTCTCTTTCTATTACATAACACTACTTCCCTCTGAAATGAACAGGACCCCCCTGCAAATTCCTGACTTTAAAATATAATATTTTACATAAAGAATACAGATGTTTGTTGACGGTAAGGATGACTGTAGGTGGCCCAGTGCCGTCCACCCTCAGGAAGTAGAATACAACAGAGGGACAAAAAAAAGAGAGAGCCTCTCCCTTAGAATCAGAGATCAATCCTAATCATTAGTGTTGCTCTTGCAGTCTCTCTTATTTCTTGGACTTTGGGCCCTCCTTACGTATCTGCCTGCCTGTCTCCCTCCCTCACTTCCTGGATACCTATCTACGTACCTACTTACCTCCCTAAACCCAGAGTAACTGTCAATTCCTTCCTTTCCTATAGTTGGCTTCATTGGTCTTGACTCACTTGCCTGGCTAGTCCAATGGTACCTACTAGGCTCTTTCTACTTAATTGGATTGCCGATCCTTGTCTGTCTTGGCCAGAAAATCTTCCAATGACACCTTTGCTCTAAGACGCTGCTGTTTGGTTAAATAATTGGCATATTGAAAAGATTTGCATGTTTAATGGTTGAGTGGGGGCAGGGGGGAGTAAGACTATGTTCCCTAGCTTGTTCTTTTCTCCTGCCATGGTGAAAGACCCAACCAAGGACCTGGGGGAAGAGGCAGGAGGAAGAGACACCAACCCTTCCACATCAACTGTGTTTTATGAGAAATAAATGTTATATGACTCAGAATGGACACACTCTGTAAGAAGTTTATGGCACTCATTCTTTTGAAGTTGTATGTCATAGTGTCAAGATGGTAGCAACAAATACTTATGGATGGTTAGGAATGTGGAGTCTTTGAGGGTGGGGACTGTTTCATTTTTGTTTTGCATATTCATCACTGGGCACAATACCTGCATGGAGCAGGCCCTTGATAAATGTTGTTGGAGTGGAAAAGATTGCCTCGAGGATTAAGTGTAAGGGCCTCAGCCTGTCATTAAAAGCCTTGCACTATCTATCCTCAGCTTACCTTTCCTGCCTTACCTAATACCATACCCCTATTACCCTGTACTTAAGCTGAACTAGATGTCCCCTAAGCGTGGCCTCCCTTTCCTGACTGTCCTGCTTTTGCTAGGATGCCCTCTATACTGCCCATTCATCTAGTTTCCCAACCACTATTCAATCATAGAACCCTATGATTAAGCACTAGAAGGAATCATAGAGATCATCAAGTCCAGCATTCTAATATTATAGAGAAGTAAACTGAGGTACAGTCAACCAGTTAGCTAAGTGATGCAGAGGATAGAGCACCAGTCTTGGAGTCAGAAAGATATAAGTTTAAATCTGGCCTCAGAAACATACTAGCTGGGTGACCCTAGGCATATATAGAGATAAGTATAAAGATGGTAAATAAATCCATGGGAGCTGATGAGATCACCAAGTGAAATAGTATAGAAGGAGAAGAAAAGAAAGGAGAAATGAGAGCGAGAGGAGAGGAGAGAAGCAAAGCAAGACCCAGGACACATAACCCTGTGGAATATCTATGGTTAGAGTGTATGATCTGGATAAGGATCCAGCAAAGAGGACTGAGAAGTAGTGGTCAGAGAGGTAGGACGAAAAGCAAGAGAGGGCAGTGTCTCAAAAACTTACAGAAAAGAGAGCATCAATGAAAAGAGAGAGGTCAATAGCATCAAAGGCTGCAGAGAGGTCAGGGAGAATGAGGGTCCGGGTGATTTTTTTCTTACACCATGCTGTTTCTCAAATGTTCAGTTCAAATTATATTAGACTTCATATAATTAATATAATTCAGTTCAAGGCCAAGTTCAAATTAGTCTTCCTCAAGGAAGCTTTTCCCTAGCAATGCCATTCAGAGTAACTCTTTCCCCTCCTAGGGCCCCCTTACAATTGGTTGATCATGTGTCATACATTGATGTTGTAGTTATTTGTGTGGCTCTTTTTTCTCCCCAACAAGAGCTCCTTGAGGATACTGACAATGTCTATTTCAAAATTCCCCATAGTTCCCAGCCTTGGAGACACAGTTCAGATGCTACCTCTTATCTGAGGTGTCCTTTTCCTGAGCCCCCTCTAGTGTACATTTTGTATACAATTTGAATTTACTTTTCTGTATACATCTTGGGTCCCACCTCTAGCGCATCTCCTCTGAGGATAGGAGCTGCTCTTTATTTATCTCTGTACCTACCTAGTTAGCTCAAAAGAAATGTGAGATGCTCAGATTTAGAGAATCCAACCCAAAGGTTCCCATGGACTATTTGTGCCCGACCTGTTGTAGAACATTCCGAGCTCGTGTTGATCTGATCAGCCATAGTCAGACACACTGTAACTTGTCCTTAGCATAGTGATGTCATTTTGGTCCTCTTCGAGAATGAAGACAACTAACCAACCTACCTAGCATAGTGCTTTGGACATAAGCTTAATAAATGCTTCTTGGTGTTCTATAATTGCATTGGGCCCATAGTAGGTACTCAAATGAATAAATAAATTAGTGAATAATCCTATCCCTGGGAGATATGACTGTTTAAGTTTCCATAGGCCTCTTCAAGAAAATCTAAAGAATTTAATACTAGATTTGATCATCACTATTATTTTGTAGGATTACTTAGGATTTTATAGGATAAAACTATGCAAGTCATCCAACAAATGCCGTTCCCACTGCTCACTACAGTGCTCAGGGCTGTCATGGATGGAGAAGTTTCATTTTCATCTGCCCACACTGATTGTCATGTCCTTCGAGGAGACATCATGTCTTATATTTTGAGGAATGAATCAATCAACAATATTTATTAGACATTTATTATCAAACATTTATTAGGCACCTACTGTGCACCAGGCACTTTGAGAGAAAATGAGGCTACAAAGACAAAAATGAACCTATTCTTCCTGTCCCAAGCTGACAATGCCTACTACAGTGTTAGGAATATAGCAAGGGTTTGATTGATTGGTGTGACACATGATCCTTTCCAATAGAATTAGGAAAGCAAGAAGAGCACTGACTAGATCTGTGTTCCAGAGGCCCGGATCCTAACTCTGCTACTAGCTCAATAGGTGTTTCCCCTCTTTGAACCTAAACTTCTTCACCTTTAAGGTGATGAGGTTAGATAAGGTGTTGGTTAAAGCCTCTTCCAAGTTCAGTGTTCTAATTTTCTGCAATGAAAAATATAAGGTTGTATTAATACAACCAAATTCTCAGCCAAATTCTCCTCATCCAGAGGCTACCCTCTGAGAGTTTGAATTAGTTGCTTTTTGGGATCATTAAGGAATCATTTGGCCAGACTACAGCAAAAGCAGTACTGGGCTAATATTGCATGGTCTCTGAGTTCTTTCTCTAAGTGACGCTTTGAGAACACATTGTAATTTGGATAGAATATAATGCAGACATTCAACACTCATTGTATGGCTCATAGTGCAAGTGAATTAGGACAAATTCCTAGTCCAACTCAACTTTATTGATGCTCTCAGGAACCTGTTTTAGGGGCAGCTAAGTGATACAGTAGTTAGAGTCCTGG